CCAATTTATCAGCTCCCGCCTGCAACGCGCAGCTAACTAACCCCCCCCCCAACTCATCGGTGAACGAAACTGTGGCAGCTGCAACCACTGTACGACGGGTACGCGGTTATTACAGCTGATGATGATGATGACTCTGCGAAAAGACCACATGTACCAAACAGGACAACTAACTAACTAATTGACCTTATTCGTTCGATGATTCGTTGCAAACATGTTCACGAACCGAAATCGAGATACTTACTCATAAAACAGGGTTTTCGTCTCCACTTGTCCACTCTCTTCTAAGCATCGAGTGCCTAGAACTGTGGATTTAGGACAGCAACATGACACTTTCTCAGCTCGTTCCAAACGTTTGCAATGACAGTCTTCAAGCACGAAATCCACATGCTTGATTGTTTGTAAACATGTGTTGTCTCGATCGCATTCTTCCCGAATCACATGGGGTTTTGGACACTCTGGAAAAGAATTACAAGACGATTGCCGAACCAATCATAAATGCAGCTTGGTTTGTTTTACGGGCGATTTGGTATTTAATTCCTGTTACTCCACGTAACTTCCATACCCTGATAACATGTATCCTATGAAATCACCGTGAACAAAACATGAGCCTGCCTACCACCGGGAAAGCCGTTCTTCTATGGCTGGATGGGCAAAATGTTACCTCGTTATAAAAACTTCGCTGCTCCGGAATCCCCTGCGTCACAGCTGACAAAACTCGTCTCATAGAGAAGTAATCAATCTGGCGAGTGCACAAGGTTTGAGAAGCAAACGAGACTATTTGCGTATTGTCTGAAAATCGAATATCTATCAAGTTCGGCAGACCTTTTTACATCTCCATATAGTCAGAAGAATATCTACGACAAAAAAGGGATAAAGGTGAACGGTAGCCACAGGGTCTTGTGCCAAATTATGCAAAATGATTTCTTGCTTCGTGATGGAAAACAGACCAGCTGTGTTTTTTCCCTGTTGAAATTTGGGTTTATGAAACTTTTGTTTACACTACTTATATTTTAGGATCTCCTTGTTCATTCAATAAAGCAAATGGAAGACAGAGAGCCTCAGTGGATTGATCAAAGCTTTTTCTAATCATTTTTTCGTTTTTCTTACCTTCTGAGAACAACCAAATGAAGTTATTTGCCAAGTAGCCCAAACAATGGATCCGATATCTGAAAATCAGTTGATTAGAGAACCTAGTTACAATAGATTTTTTGGGACCGGATGAAGTCCGCTTTTTTGCTAGGTTTAGTATAACGGGAGAGCCTGAATACTGGGGGAGAAGTTCATTCAATGGACAATATACTGAGAGCCACCTATTGCATAGAAATTTGTCCAAAACGTGGAAAAATTACTTAAGCACAACTGATCCAAATTTGTGACCCCCCAATTTGTCACTTTTCTTTATGATAGACTATATGAACCTGCTAATCGTTGCATAACTTTTGTTACTGCAGCTTTCGAAAGAACTCTGTATAAGTACTGTGATCCCAATTGTGACTGGCATGACCGAGATGCGCTCAAATTTTTTAATACAGACTGATATTCAGCTTCAACTAGAGTCACGAAACAGCACATCGCACTGGACAGTCTAAGAAAAACCCCACGTTTCATGTGCCCATTGGTCACTCTACGCCTACCGATGTGAGTGGACTCATCCACCTTGACGGTGATCGAGTGGCTAGACCAAAAATTGTGAAGTCTTGCGCGATATCTTACATATCACTCAAGGACAAATAAGTCCATCTGTTAAGATGGGTTATCTAAGTACGTCCAGCCTTGTGTGTCAAACGACCATAGGTCAAATCCCTGTATGACGAGCGTTATGCACTGTGAGTAAGCCTCAAAAATAGCGAATTTCGAAAGCGGTCATTCCTTCTTTGGTATGGACTGGAGCAACTATTCGCGCCAGGTTAAGAAGACTGTTCACTCGGGGGTAATGCTGATACGACAATAATTTATCGTATCTTGTCCAAAGTCACACCGCTCTCGTTTGAACGGTCATGCTCCTGTTCTGACGTAATTATTCCGGTGAGTCCACACCAAAGGAAAGCACTGGACTCGAGCTCCGCTCTCACTGAAGTTAATCAGCGATGCGTATCCCATGGCCGTGCCGGGATTCGAACCCGAGTTAATCAGCGATGCGTATCCCATGGCTGTGCCGGGATTCGAACCCCGGATATCCGACTACTTTACGGACGGACGTTGGACGCATCTGAATTTTCATGTCTGAACAGGCGAAAGTGTTCACATTTGAGCTATGTGATTGGTGTGCCCAACCCATCGAACGACGACCCAGTAACTGTCCTGGTTGTGACGATCGATTTATCGTATCATTCTGAGAACACACCAGAGGTCGTGTGGTGCAGACTAGCTCAAATAAGCTCTATGCAAAAAAAAATTTATGAAAGCCAAACGAAACCTACCAGGACAAACTCGCTGGATATGGTTCTCCTTGATACATCTCTCGTTTTGTTGATCATACTTGAAAATTTCTTGAACAACCACGCGACAAGAACCGACGCATACTGAACGAACGTTTGATTTTTCCAAACAGCCTAGAAGAAGCGTGAAAGTATTTGTTAGCATCCTTGGAAGTTAATCTACAGGGTCATTCTCCTATTACAAACAGGCAAAAATCCCACCCATCGGGCTGCAGACTGTATCTAGCAATTCCCAGGATTTTGGACGTAAGTGTTTGGACGATATCTGCGAGAACACTACAATTTATCATCGTCAGAAGAAAGTGGTTTTTAGACCCACAAGAGTTCAGTCCAGCGCTAAAAATCTGGTCCCGCAAGCAACGTGACTCAGGTCACCATACACAGATGAAACTCCCAATCGGAAAAGATTGGAATACATCTAACCTGCATAATCTATATTGGCATTTCCTGAAATAAGCCAAACAGATCAGAGTAATCTCCAAAGAGAGCACCCTCGGAAGAAAGGTCACTGTCTGTAAGATCCACAACAGCCACCTAGGGTTTAGAACACACCTGAAAATGGTCAACCCTAGAGAAAGCCCCAAAATAGTCTATCAAAACAGTTCAACACAAAACTGTTATAATCCACGTTTTTTAAAACTCACAGCATTCTCGTTCGCCCTGCAACACCTGGTAAGTTTGACATTTACAAGTCTCCGGATCCACTCTCCATCCGATTTCGAAAATGGGTTGACGACAAGAATCAGGTCGACACTCACCGTGTCGAACTTCCTTTTTGGTGGGGCAGACTGAAAATTCAAACAATTTATTATAGTTACGAGTAACGCTAACTTCAAAGTAAGAAGCTAACAGATACAGTTAAAGAATAACTGGATTAGCTAACCTAAACAGAGTTGGGGAAGTATGGTATGAAAAGTGTCAAATTACTGACCGGACTCCCGGCATCTTGACTGCGCCTGTCTAGGCTTGGCATTATCCCAGCCCTCGTACTTTCTTCGAGTGACACGCGGCTATGCACCGAAAGGGTATTACAGCTGAACGATTATTGTTATATATTATTGGTATGAAAGTAGTGGCTACAACATGGTTTGTAGACCACCATCGTTATCGATCTAATCGGTATCGATCACCTTCTAAACACATGGCTCCGTTTTCTATACCGTTAATTGAATTGTTTTTCAGTGTGACTACAATCACCCGTTTCTGCTGAGATATCTGATATCTTTATGCCAATAACATGACGAACGAGTACTTACTTAATTCATTCAGACGCCGTTATTAGTCTCATCCATTTTCAACAAAAGAAACGCGCTCGTGGCTAGTTGCAAAAATGAATTGTCTGGGCTTTAGTATCACACCCTTGCGACCATTTCAGGTCAGGCGTCCGAACAGTGATGTTCGAATTGGTTGATATTCGGCTAAAGTTAAATACCAACTAACCAATCTTTGGTTTGAGTGCATTCGATAGTTTACCTATTAGCGCTGAATATTGACACGTGACCTCAACTAACCAACCAAAATGCGGCATAAAAATGGACTTACTCTACTTCAATCATTTCTCAGTTTAACCGTCTCTACAACATTTTTACTCTTGCTCTTGATAGCATCAAAGGTCAGTGATAGATAAGCGGTGGTTGGTAAACGGCGGCAGACAATGGTTACTTTCCTGGACATAACATTTTACCCATGTGGTTGGTGAAAACCCTTCGATAGTCCAATAAGTTGTCCGTAGAAAACTTGTCTATCTAGAAGACAGTCAATGATGCACTCTATAACTTTATCCGATGGTCTTTAATGTCCTACCCAAAAAGAGTTTCAGTCAGTATGAAAAAACGGAGGATCCGCTTGTCTTTGCCAAATGAAAATAGGGTCTTCTCTACCATCACTTGCCCTGGCCTCAGTGCAAACTGGTGGAAGTGCTACTTGGTAGTCTCAATCACAAAGTGCTTAGTTCAGGGTGATACGGAACTAGTGTCTCAAAAGTCACGCCTTCGCCATGATAAATTTATCCAAGTTCACCGTAGCACGAGTGTCACGCCATACAAACGCAAGAGGCATTCTCGACTTCCGCATTCTACACGGTTGGCTGAATTGCTATGGACTGAATAGCCGTACCCGGAATTGAAGTGTTCGAAACACCGGAAGATACATTTGGAAGTAAACTTACCCAGAGGCAATGGTTCTGGCTTTGCGACTTCGACACACCGACCATCGTGGAGAACGGTATGGTAGGTGACAAGTTCCGGCAGTCCATGGGTGCATTTCTGCTCCTTCCTCACGTTAGGAGAGCAACCTGAAATGAAATGAGGATTACACATGAACCAGCCGTTTCGCCCCCACTTCACTCTCAGTTTTCAAACCTCTGAGGACTAACATTTACAAAGTGCGAAATGAGAACAAATATTTTATTGACATAGACTTATCACAACTACGAGGCCACTGAAAGTGTTCAGCAATGTAACCACCAGCTTTACAACAATGGACATCTATGCTAGCGAGGCAATCTGAGGCATACGAAACCAAGGTGAAAAGATGAGAGAGAATCAGGGGAAGAAACTCACAACAAGCGCGTGTGGCAAGAACCTTCTTGGTAAGAGCACACCAGCACATCTGCACCTCGTACGTATAAGCGATGAAATGTTGCACACATGTTCTCCGATCGCAGTCATTCCAGTGTCCGTTTGGAGGGGGAGGATATTCGTGGCAATCTGAATGAGGGGGGAAGTATTTGTTTTACGGTATAATAAATGAATTGGTTGGCTGAAAACTCTGGAGAAAATAATGTTTTAGCCTTCCAGGGAGAAGCTGTCCGCACTAATATCGACCAATGCACGCATCTGCAAATCAGTTTAGTTTTCACGGGAGACTCAAGTTAGCCTATCGTTTATGATGTTCTTCAACTGAATTTGCTGCACACAGGCCGCCTTATGATTCAGTTGGCACGATATTCGAGATATCACAGTATATTTTCATAAAGGAGACTACTCACAAGGTTGCTGAAAATCCATCGACAGCCCACGATCGGTTTCACCCTTCTTGGGGCTCATCAAGTAGGCGCAGTCCCCGAGTTTCCGTCAACCTTATGTTCTAATTGAACCCAAAATGGACTGGTTTCGATTGGGTTGGTTAAGCCTGGTAAGACAATAAATATTATTCGCGCCTAACACACAAAACTTGCGGGTGGGGCTCTAAGTAGTCACTTGTGCACTCACGCACATGAATCCGAGGTTTACGAAACACAAGAGATGTTAACACGAAATTCGATGGGAACCAATGCCATAGGAAGAACGAATGGCGTAAAAGCGGTTTAAAAAGAACGTGAAGTGATGCCTTCTCAAATGTTTATGTAGAAGCTGTCCCGCCTGCCTTGCAAGCAGCAGTTCCCAAGTCCTAACCGAATATTGTCCTTGAAAGTAAATATGTCATTTGTTTGTCCAGGAGAGAGAATCCGTTATGGACACCCAAATGTTGACCTAAGGTTGACTCGGGGACTGCGCCTACCTGATGAGCCCCAATAAGGGCGAAGCTGGTCGTTTTCAGCAACTTTATGAGTAGTGTATTAAGTCAAAGATTTTTCTCCTGTGTGCCTCAAGTAAGTAGTTGGTTGCGTGTGGGTTTACACATTCCTGGTTAAGCAAAGAGGGGAAAACACGTTAAAGCCTGTTTGAGTGGTGGTAGGCGAAGGTGACTATTCCAGAAAATATCAAATGAAGCCAGACAGAGACTCACCGACTTCCGAGTGTACAGCATGTGTTTTTTCGATACACTGATGTCCGCAGCGTTGTTGATGAGTTGTATAGTAGATCACCTGCCCGACCAGTTCCTTGTTGTTCTGACAGTTCACTTGCACCTTCGGTTTTGGACAGCCTATAATGGCGGAATGTGCTTTGGTAATCATGGTTCTGAAAGCCACCATGAATATTACTCATAATTGCCAACCAACTCCCACAGTTTTCTTCTTTTTAACATAACCACTCTGGAGGTGGGGGATAAATATACCAACAAGCTCCATCTAGTCAATTTGAAAGCAGTCAGATATCCAAAAGATTGAAGTGATTCTGAGCTCAGTGAAAATTTCAAAGAGCATATTCATAGATAAATCGCTTCAACCACGGAATGGAACTTGTGGCCAGATGACCTTTCTAGTTTTGCTTCCCGAAAACCAAGGTCAAACGATCAGTTCGGAGTTCAGACCTGCTGAGTCAACAAGGAAGGTCAGTGATGAATGGCATATTCGCAGACGAGCTAACTCGTGCCCGACGGATGCAGTCCAGTCGGAAACCATTTTGGGAGAAGAATCACTAGGCTTTGTACATGTCCTCCGGAACAGAATTAGATAGATTGTGAGCAGGTTTTGAGATAGTGAATTGATTTATTCAAATCGGTTATCTAATTCTGGGTGTGGAAGTAGTGTGGAAATATTCCCTTGGGAAGAAAAGTCAGTGAACCTGATATTTTCTGCCAGATGAGTCGTCTTACGAGTAGCAGCCATTAATCAGTTTTCCTTTTCAAGCGCCATTCACCAAAACACTACTACAAACACCCCATCACGATAACAACCAAACAACGAGATCACACTCACCGCAACAAGTACATCGCCTGGTCTTGACAAGAGACCAATCACAGGAACAGCGACCAGGATCATATCTTCGTGTGTAGGTCTCCAGTTGTCGTGTGCAAGTGTTCGGGTCACATGGAGTTTGTTTGTTTCGAACAAACAATTGATCATGTTGTGCTTGTGACTCCATGCCCATCAGAGTTTCACAGGCCGGCTTGTATTGGCGTTGAAGTACTGTTCGATCACACGAACCAGTTCGCTCATTCAAATTGGATATGATTTTCTGAATGAGCCAGGTGGTATGGAAACAGAACAGTCAAGCTAAAACCGTTCAAAACATATGACAGCGGGCAACAGTCGAAAGACACTAGTGAAGTAAGCAAAGCTAGCACATCTGTTTACTTAGCTGATGACCATCTCAGACAGTCCTAATGTCGATAGGTGTTCAAATTAATTTGTCGGAGCAGTCATCGATCCTATCAGAGGAGTGAATATTTGGCGAGCCACGGGCTTCAAATCTAACCGGTGCTTGTGACAATGATGTGGCCATATCCCGAAAAACCAACCCACCGAGAACTGTGGCACCTATAGAGTGACGTGCGGGGAGTTCGGAAGACCCGGTATCTGCCAATCCCTCATACTTCCACGCAACTAAGTGGGAGACATGAAATAATATTTCTCTTTCTTATTAGTGGTTCTGGTTTGCTTGAAAATGTTGGAGGGGAGGTGAAATTCAATTCCCACAATATTAAAGCAGGCAGAGTGACTGGTTACAAACAACACCGATTACAGAGACGAAATAAAACTGGGGTTGTTTCAGTCTGAATAACTTGGATAATGGCCAACTGCCAGCCCAGCTGAAATGTTACCCATACTACCCGCAGAAATGGATAACCCGAGAGGTGTTTGAAATTATGGCAAGCCAGATGGCTGCCGAGTTCCAGAGGCTTCCATCTCTGAGTGCATGCTTTTAGGAATAAAAGGATGCAATGTCCACATGTTTTTCTCCGAACTAGATTATCTGCCTGGACCCATGATTAGTCGTATGCTCTGTATCGTGTACAGTCACCCCCTATAAGGTGTATTCAAATAAAGACTAACACTGATAAAAACCGCTTTTCCTTTCCACCTTTTCCATCATAATAGACTCGAACCCCTTATAAGTACTGTTAACCCGTACATTGCACGTGTTCCCACCCGCAACACAAAGCGCCAACTTGTCGGCTTCCTTCGTCATCATCATTTTCATCATCACTGTCAGCTGTAATAACAGATCAGAAGGAACGGTAGTCTTGAATTGTGGCTCTCCACCGATGGCTGATGGCCACGTGATTCAACTGGATTCACCGTTCATTTACAGTTGATGGCCGCCAGGTTACGCGGTGCGAACGTTTATGTTGAAAGTTCGTAATTGCCAGAAACAGTTCGTGGTCAGCACACAACTGAAGGAGGCGATCTCCGTTATCTGTGCGGCGAGGATCGACTCCGAAACGACCACCCAAATGTGATT